AGCTTTCAGGCAGCAGATTCTCAAAGAGCCAGATTCTCCACTCTGCCAGTTGGTGTGACCGGCATTTTGACAGGTAGAACTTGAGTCCAGTCGCAGTATAGGCACGTATGTGACATGTGACATATGTTTCTGGCTGAAAAGAAACTCAAACGAAATCAGTATCTTGCCTGAGGGTGCAACAGCAGTGCCCCAGCAGGGAATATAACCAGCAACCTTTCGGCCTGCTATCACTACGCTACAGCCTACGTATAACATGACATATGTTTCCGCCTGTTTTTTTTTTTTTTTTTGAGCTGTTGTGGGTACCTGTGTTTTACCGACGGCACAGATTGGCCTTCTGGTCAATATTACACTGATAAAATGTGGCAATAGCTGGCTTCTGTTGGCCACTTTTGCTTTTGCTTTTCAACCATCTGTAAGAAATTAAAAAGTACACACCAAAGCGACCTTCTCTGCACTGCAGTATGTGGGAGTACACAGCACACGTATGGTACACTGGAGTGTTTTTATTTTTACATGCATGTACGCACACACACACACACACACACACACACACACACACACACACACACACACACACACAAACATTAAGCATTTCATGACTTGCCTTTATGTTTTGACAACAGTATTGAACAAATAGTTTTTAAATAGACTGTTTAGCATTAAATTATGTGTTTGTTGAATGACAGGGTCATTTCTGTGTCAGATAGTCAATGATAAACAGTGTTTCATGTTGACAGCATACTAATAACAACATTATAAATTGAACAATTTTTCAGGCTGTGGAATAACTACTTGCTCACTGACAAGCAAACAAATCACTTGCAAATGTCTGACAATTTAAGTAGCAGAAGAGATCACTGTTTTATAGCTAGATAGGAAACACGGTGAAAAAGATCAAAGTTTGATATTAAAGTTGATGTATATCCTACTTTCATTTTGCAAGCTCACAAGCTATGCACAAGAAGGAAGACTATTCAATTACAAAGTAATTAAGCCATGTGAGCTCTATTTACTGATTATTATGAACTTCATCAGCAACAATTGTTTAAATTTTTAACAAGCTATTTTTAACTAGCTAAAATGCTTAACATCATTGTGTGAGCAAATGAATTTGTCTGAGTTAATTACGTATAAAAATAATTCTATTAATTATATACACATACAGCTTATTAATGCATTGTTTTATCAGTTGAAAATGTTCCCCCACTGGAATCATTGAAAATAAAATCTAGCCTTATGAAAGAGCCCTGTCATAGATGTATAGACGCCCTGTACCAGGCAGGCACGTTGTAGGAATTCATTCTCCGGCAAACAAACACACAAACACAGTGGGAACATGAGATGTAGAGTGCATGGCTGAGCGAGTGTCTTTGTAATTTCATTCAATCAGCCTCTATTACCCGCACCTCTGCTATTTGCAGACCTCCCGTGAGCTGGCATTTTGATCGGGTGAGAGAGATAATGCTCGCCACGCCATGCCCAATAACCAAATGCCTGTGCCGACGGCCGCATGCGTGAGCGTATGGCGGTGGAAGCCTGTGCCCATCAGGCCTGTGGGGGAAGTCAGATGTTAATATCAGCATCACCGGGTTTATAGAGCGTGTGGCGTTCTGGCCCGTTAATTACGCCCAAGCTGGCACGGCTCTGACCGTGGGGGATTAGAGAGTGACCCAGGGGTGAGGCGGCTCATCAGGAAGGCATGTCACAGGCCGCTTACCTGTGAGAATCTGTGGCAGGTTATTACAGCAGGGGGGTGGGGTGGGGGGCAGTCTCAGGGGGAGGGGCACGTCCAAGCCTGTTTCCTGTGCGATGCCTCTCTTACCTCCACCTTCCCTCCACTCCCTTAGCTTGTGTTCATCACTCAGTTTGCTTTCATTTTGTGAATGAGCTGAGAGTTTCTATCTATTCTAGCTTAAGCAATACGTCTGGCAGTGTTTTTGTGGTATGGCGGGTGCTCCAAAGTCCAGTGATCAGTGCCTTTTTGAGCCAGTTTTTTTTTTTTTTTGCAGGTCCACCCATTGTGCTGTCAGTTTTTCATGGTACTTAGGGTCACTGGCTGAGGAAAAAAAGACGAAATGCTTAGGTGGACATTCACAACCAGCCCTATAAAAGCCATCTCACATTTGCATTCACTTACTGCCAGGAAGCTGGCTGTCTTTCTGCTGATACTTCACTGAGCGTCCAGTAGCAAAACGCTTACAAACAGCTGCTTAAGTAATATAATATAATATAGCATGAGTTAATATTACAATATATAATATTAAGTAATACTTAATATCGATATTGAATTTGTCTAATATATTGTCTTGAGTAGGTTCTATTTCACATGCATTAGGGGCCAGTAATTTACTGCCACAAAACTGAATGTAAAAATAAGGCCAGAATACAACATCTTATTCATTAAAGCATCTTTGGCCAGTGGTTTGGTGTTGTTTGGTGGACCCAGTGAAATACTTTCTTTGGACTGACATGAATTTAAACTTACCATTAAGTATTGGTGTAATGATAACAGAGAGGTAATTATTTGAGAGGACAATTCAAGGTGACCTTGAAGCGATTTTGTTTGTCCGCTGTGGCAGCGGTTTGATTCTGCGTCACTTTGGTTAAACATTCGGAGCCGAAGCTCTGCGTGTTCCTCCTGTGTGTTTGAGTGGTTCTGGCCCATCCTCTACGCAACACCCAGCACAGAGAATCCGAAATCTCGTGGAGAGCAGCCGTCTCCAGGGCCTCCGCCCGGTAATCCGACAGAGGCAAGCTGAGCCAGGTCCCTGCGAGGATTAGCCCCCATCTCTGGGAGGAGGATTTATAAGCCTGGAAAATTAAGCATGATCGCAGATCACGGGCGCCGCGGAGATTTCCCTTTCTGTCTCTGCCGTTCATTACCACTTAATAGCCATGCCCTCTCCGGGAGTCAGGGGGTGCTGGGGGTGCAAGGGCCAGGCTGGGGGGAGACCTTCGCAACAGGACCTCTCCATGAGTCAGTGTTGTAGAAAACTGCCGTAAGTGTTGTTTTATTGAGTTTTAATTGAAAATATGATAACATGTTTATTGAAGCTGGATGTTCATATGTGTTGGAGGAATTGACATGTTTGTACACAGGCTGGCAGGATTTGGATAGTACCTGTGTGTGTGTGTGTGTGTGTGTGTGTGTGTGTGTGTGTGTGTGTGAGCCTCTGTGTGTGTGTGTGTGTGTGTGTGTGTGTGTGTGTGTGTGTGTGTGAGTGTATGTGTATGTGTGTGGATGTGAGTGTGAGTGTGTGTGTGTGTGTTGTGTGTGTGTGTGTGTGTGTGTGTGTGTGTGCGTGTGTGTGTGTATGTGTGTGTGTGTGAGTGTATGTGTATGTGTGTGGATGTGAGTGTGAGTGTGAGTGTGAGTGTGTGTGTGTGTGTGTGTGTGTGTGTGTGTGTGTGTGTGTGTGTGTGTGTGTGTGTGTGTGTGTGTGTGTGTGTGTGTGCATTCATGCGTGCATGTGTTTATTAGCAGTGCAGGGATCTCCCATGGCAGGGTGAATGTGTGAGGTCACACTCATAAATCCAGCTCTAATTAGTGAGGGGGAACAGAGCAATATCTCACTGCTCTGGAGGCACCAGTATGGATTCCTAAAATTCAATATCCCTAAATGGCTGGATCACGGGCCAGAGATGTCTGTGATTACTGTATTCAAGATCAGCTCATAAATGAAACCCAAATTAAAAAGAAAAGTATTGATTTTTCACTCCCCCCAACCCTCTTGCAGTTGCAAAATCGATCAGTTTCAGTGCAACATTTTGTAGCCTGTCTTCTTGCAGTGAATTGCCAGAGTGAGAGTTTAGAGTTGACAGTTGCACTTGTAGGGAGAAATGGGTATGAATTTCATTAATTTTTCTGCACACGAGGCTATGCAGTTATGTTGCACTGCCCCTCAGCTCTATGAGATTTGGAGTGCAAATTGCTCTCACTGAGACCATGGTGAGCACCAGCAAGCAATCACACCACTTCCATCACCCCATGGCTACTGGGTAATGTAGTACTGTGGAACAGGAAGTACAGCTGAAATTCATCATGATGTCACAAAGAGAACTTCTCGGGAAAAGCATGTCAATTGCATCATTCATAATGTTCCCTGTCCCTAAGCGGAGAACTGCTACTGATAAACTTACTGGTAGTTTGCTTTGCTTGTGAGACCTTTTATAAGCAACATACTAAGACTTCAAACCTACGTAAAGTGACACTTGCATTCCCTGGCAAACCCAGCTGATTCCAAGGTGAACAGGAACTGACAGGGTCTTCCTTGTTTTAGTATGACATGCATGTCCGCCATGGAAACTAGGAGGACTTGCGAGGAGTTACTACTGAGGGAGACAATCGCACACAAATGCCTGAGTTCGGGTGTCACCCAGAAAAGCGCCAAAGTCATATAGACAGCAGTGGAAATATGAAGAGCTGGGGATGTGTTTGTCTGCATTTACACCTCTGTGGAAAACTGTAGCTGCTCCTTCACATCAGTGTGGGGATTGCCATGGAGTTACGTGAAGAAGATGACAATATTCATCCGCCTGCTCCGATTCGTCTCGCAGCAAGCGGCTCCTGTGTTCCTGAAAGTGGAGAAAAGAATGAAACAGTGCTCCATTTTCTCCACATAAACCCCATGTAAACGTGGCCATGCAGGTAGCCGATCACAGGGAGGAAAAAGGGTAATGGTGTGCAGTGATTGGTTCTGTTGCATTGTTGAGACTCAGCAGTGTGTATGTTGACTGTAGCTTATTTTCCCACTGAATGGTTTTCTCCAAAGAAGATCTAATCTGCTAAAATGTCTGAAGTAACATTTCATAAAAATATTTTCTATAGTACATCGTGTTTTATCTGTGTTGGAAGTGGTAGAAAACAGTCGATACAAGATATGCTCAGAACATAGAATAGTGTTTGTGGATGCATGTGCGTGTTTGTGTTCACGATTTGCATGGAATTCTTTTTCATGATAGCATTGCAGTTTCAGCTGTACATGATCTGTATAAGTGGCATTGTAGCATAGTGGTAGTGAGCAGGGCTTGTAACTGAAAGGTTGCTAGTTCGATTCCCCATTGCCGTTGTATCCTTGGGCAAAGTACTTAACCAAGAATCGCCTCAGTATCCAGCTATATAAATGGATAGCATCTAAAAAATTGTAACATATAAGATGCTCTGGATAAGAGCGTCTGCGAAATGACAGTAATGTAAATGTAAATGTAAATCATAGCTGAGTAAATGGGAGATGTAAAATGCTGTCAGAGATGGAAGTCTTGCAGTGCAGTCATCTTCCATGAGAGACGCAAATGCCATAATGGAACGTTAGGGCTCTATTCTCCACACACCTGTCTGATTAACCGGAGAATCCTTTCTCTCCCTCCGCTCATTTTCAAGTGTATTTTCCTCCCTCCTTTGAGCCTAACACTATTCAAAATGGACTCCATTCATTTGCCACACACACTTCCATCTGAACGTGTTCATTTCATTTCAGGCACCATGCAATGTTGATTACATCCTTTCCACCCGGGCCTGGAATGTGAAATGCGTTTTTTTTTTTTGTTTTTATCCCGAGCTTGTCTCTGTCTGCAGAGATGAATGAGTCATGAGTGACATGCAGTATGTTGGGTGACAGCTTCTGCCTCTTGAGTTCCTGCCCCTGGAACATCCAGTGTTCACATTTTTACACCCCCAAAACGATACTGACTGCACTGGCACCGTGAGGAGGGGGCATGTCCCGTAATCTCGTTACACCACTTAGCCAGGGCGCTGGCTTGCGTTTGAAGTTCCCCCTCCCGCCCCCATTGATTTATTATTTATCGAAAACATTCTTAACCGTGGTTGTGTTTCTATTATTCACACGAGAGGACTGAGGAAGCTGGTGGCATTCACTCCTCTGAGCAACCGTAAAATGGGTGTGGGAATTAGACACAAATGACTGGTGGTTAGGTGGTTAGTTATAGGTTACTCTAGCACATAGACACTTAAATTATGGCCCTCTTAGTTTAGCCTTGACGGAAAGGTGCACTCTGACATTTAAGCTATAATATTTGACCCAAGCTGTTTGCTGCAAGTGTGTCTGTGGAAAGCTCTCTCCAAGCACTGTTCAGTCTGGTGAAAGGTGTGAGGGAGAGTACATTTTCTGCACTGTGTGTTGAAAACGGTACTTTTCTGTACTTTAAGTGTTGAAAATAATACCATTTGTTCAGAACTTGAGTATTTTCAGACTAATCAGTATTTAGCCTGCTTTCAAACTCACAGAACAACATCATTACCCTAATGCTACTACAGCGTTGTCCTGACACTGTCCCAGCTGCTACAGTTTACTTTCAGTTAAATATAGAACATCTCTCACATAGTTTGGAGACTTAAAGGGAAAGCACACACTACCATTGAAGGTATAACGTTTAAGTTTCACTTCCTTATGTATTCCTTACGTATCCTTTTATTTTAGCACAAAACTGGCCACCTAAACGCGGACACCCCTGCATTAGCATATTAACCTCTGCTCACTTTGAAAGCTGTGCAGTAGTTTTTAAGAATGGGGCGCACTGATCGCACGTGGAGGGTGTCCGTATCAGAGGCCGTGTCTTGCTGAAACCTCCTCAGCTCGGCAAGGAGAAAGCGAGCCGACACTCGCGGAGAGAGAGAGAGAGAGAGAGAGAGAGAGCGAGCGTTCTAGAACACCGCTTGTGACAGACGTTCCATTTCTCCAGCAGAGCCGGGGCAATGGGATTGTCTCTCTCCGTGGCAAAGTGGGCCTTCCCGCTGTGAGGGGGATATTTCTGATAGTCCAATTTCCATGGCAATCGGCGAGCAGAGAGAGCAGCAGCCGCGGTGCAGGAGCGGGGCATGACAGAGCAATCACCTCTATTTCATGTGCCCCTGGCTCCCCTGCCATGGGGGAGAGGGAGGAGGGGAGCCCGCAGACTGATGGAGATCTCATTCTGATTCCTGTCAGCGCTCAGCGTCGAGGGGTGGAATAAGCAGAGGTTGGACTGATCTCTCCCGTGCATGCTGAAATACAGGAAATACTCAGGTGAATGCTACTGTGTCTGATGCTGGGGGGTTGGCAGGATTTTGCTGTATTTTGCCTTACTACAGTTTTCTAATTAGAGGGTAATTATCGGAACAGCTGTCAACAACCACTTTTTTCCCCTCAAAAAACATATGCACACGCAGTGATGCAGGCACACACACACACACACACACAGATTTATTTTTTAGGGCTCATCTGAAACATTGTGGTATTCTTTCTGACTAGAAATTGAATCTCTCTCAAGCCACTCTGTCTCAGTCTGTATCTATTTGTATGTCCATCTCTGTCTGTTTCTCTCTCTCTCTCTCTCTCTCTCATACTCTTGCTTGATTCATGACCGTCAGGCTGTAGGTTTAAATAAAGGAGTCTTGTACGTGAAAGACAGTTCTTTTGGTATTAATCCCGTCTGTGAGACACTGACGTGTGAAACAGATGTAGTGTTTGAGTACATCTTGGAGCTGCCAATTCTAGGTTTGTGTTCAGTCATACTCTCCTTCACAGCATGGACACAAAGTGCAGTTCACCTTTAGCTTGACTTCCAGGTGACAGACATGTCTGCAGGTAAGAAGCACACGACTGTCTTCATGTAACACACACACACACGCACACACACTTCAGTCTTTTCTGTTTAGGTCCTGCAGGGAAGCAGCTGTCCTCAGTCTTTTCAATTTTGGGTGGCAGCTGCTTCTCCTCTTCCCTGTGATTTGAGTTTTTTTTTCTCTCTCTTTCATTCTCTTGTTTTGCTCAGCATGTTATCAGATGCCTCTTCTCCTCCTGTAGTGAGAGAGACAGGTATCTTCTGTTCTGAGGCCGATCTCTTCTGTTCTGAGAGTGACCTCTTTCTTTCCTGTAGTGAGAGAGACCAATCTCTTCTGAGGGAGAGTGACCTCTTCACTTCCTGCAGTGAGAGAGAGAGACTGGTATCCTCTGTTCTGAGACTGACCTCTTCCTCTCCTGTAGTGAGAGACTGGTCTCTGCTGTTATGAGGGAGTGACCTATTCCTCTCCTGTGGAAAGAGAGACCAATCTCTTCTCTTCTGAGATGGAGTAACCTCCTCCTGTTGTAAGGGAGACCAATCCTGTGTTGTGCTAATGGGTGGTGGCATCAGACATCAGCAATGCGGTACCCATCACCAGTGTTACCTTCACATCAGCAACAGTAAGAAAAATACCTTTAGTTTGCAACTCCCCATTGGTTTATTGTGCAGACTTATCACCTAGATTATAAAATAATATTCACTTTTCACTTTAGTGAATACAGCCCTCTGTGGTGCTGTTTGAGAAATTTGAGGGCTGTAGTCCAAAGTAAAGAACTATATAAATCCATAATAGTAATAATAATAATAACAATAATAATAATAATAATAATGTGATTTCTTTAGGTCCTCCAGTTTCTGCCAGCTGGTGAAACTGGCAACAATAAACCAACAATGCTCAGGCAGCGCCCCTTACACTTTGACTAAAGTTTCCACTCCGAGTTAATAAAGTGCACTGTTAATGGCGTCATGGTTATAGCTTACAACATGTCTGTGATCAAAGCGAAAAATTGTGCTTCCTTGAGAGCAGTCAGAACATCACACTTTATTGCACAGTTATGGAATGGCAGTGTTTCCTACCTTAGGAACATTTGAAAAATATTAACATCTAATAATTCATATATTATTCAATTTGATTGGTTAATGTATGCAAATGATTATGCTACATGTAATTGTTTCTTTTTATGTCTTTACAAATTAGGACTATTTGGAAATTGTTATTATTAGCCCCGCCACTGTCACTATCATATTCATTGCCTTTGTTGAGCTTAAGAGAAGTCCTCTCCAGAAGTTTGGATCAGGTCTGCAGATCATTATTTGAGGTGGCAAATGGTTTACCCTCCGTCTGAATCCCATAACTCGCTGTGCACGGGTGGCGTGCATTACAATGCTTCAAAGAGAACTAGAGTTATGTAATAAACGTGTTTTGCAGTCATATGAAAACTGAGTGATGTTCTGTTGTTCTGCAGTTTCTGCTGTGATTTTCTGGGCTTTCATGTGCTATACGCATAATATCATTAGCAGACTGAAGTGCTGCCTGGTTGTGTGATGTTGATATTTGGCAGGTGAGCAAGGTCACGCATTGTTAGTGAGCGAAGGGCTTCTGGCGCAGGGAAGCTGGCATATTTGACCTGTGTCAGACAGCATCTCTATCACACAGTGAAACACTGCGCAGTACCACTGGAGGTCAACAGGGGGAGCTGCAGGACCTCAGAATCCCCCGGACCAATCAGAGGCAGGGTCTCATTGTGACAGCCCCCCCCCGGCGGAGCACTCTTCTTCTGTTGCCTTCCAACAGTGGTCGCCTCTCTCTTTCTCTCCCGCTCTCTCTCTCTGTCTCTCTGTTCCCCCGGTCTCTCTCCTCTCCCGCTCAGATCAGATCAGCTGCAGAGAGGAGGCTAGCTCCATCGCTGCTAAATCCGCAGATAAAGAGGCAGGGAGTGAGTGGATCTGCACGGGGGCAGGCGCAGGCAGGCGCTACGGGCTCTGAGCCGGGCACAGTCTTCTTCTTTTTGTGGAGGTATACCTGTGGAGAACGGACACAGCTGGCCGTTTTCAGCATCTGCTCCAGCTGCAGAAGAGGTGCTGTTACTGCCTTCCTCTTATCACTGTGCTCTGATTATTGTGTGTTTCTGTTTGTGTGTTTGCGTGTGTGTGTTGTATTGTATGTGTAGTACATATATGTATGTACTTGTATGCCTGTGTATGTGTGTGTGTTTGACTCTTGTTACACAGCGACAGATTCACAGGCTTAATTATCGGGCATTTTTTGCTTGATGGATTTTTTTTTTCCTTTGATTCTCCTCCTGCAAACGAATGAGATTTTTTGCCTCTTTTATGATTATGTTGAATAGTTACTTAGAGGGGTTTCAAGCCTGATTTTCAGATTATATGAAAAATACATTTAAAATCTTGACATAATAGGATTTTGACTCTGTCCTCATGGAAGCATGTGCTTTGATTTTAAATCAGTCAGAAGACTGAGAAATGCTTGTGAGTATGTGTGTTTG